ATTAAGATATCACTTTAAACTTCTTGTTCATACTCCTTTCTCTTGTTACAGACATATGAAGAGTATCTTGAAGCTTATAGCAGAGGCAGCAAAAGATCGCCCCACCCTGTTAGTACTCTTTGACATTTTTCTTGTTATATATTCCTGTATTATCAAATAAACACATGAACCATGCTCTGTTGGGTTGGATTTTGAACTGTACAAAGTTCACCTCTATCCTTTTAGTTAATCTCTGTTCTGGAAAATGTATTCTCATATCCTTTCTTTTCAGAGAAAAGCTTGTAGCATTTAGCATTTCCTCATTGTGCTATAAGCAAGAGATGTTTAGCTCAATTGAGGAACTTGTGTCTTAAGTCACAAGTTTGAACTAAGTCTAGTATTTGAGTAGAGATGGATAGAGGGTTGGGTCCATCATCTCCGGGTTTTGAAAGTCACGGATGCCCAAATCGTTGGCTCCAGATGAACTTCTTGTTCATAAAAAACATGGGCGACTCCCATCCCTCTTTTTTCTCCATGCTATCTAGTGGTTGATGATCTGAATGTGGTTGGTTCTCTGGGTGAAGTATTGTGATAAATTCATGTGCTATAGTTAGGGTCCTCGAAATTTCAGTCTCTGTTCTGCTCTTTAGCATGAGATTTGAGTCTTGCGTGTCTACCATTTCACCACCCAGGCATCTTGAAAGTGAATCATATTTCATGAATATGATATCTATCTAGTTTTGGAGATGACATTTCCTTTTCTTTTCACTAGCATGATGAAGTGTTTCATTAACGTATTTAAACTCAGTTTTTGGAAGTGCCCTAGTTCGATATATGCCTCTGCGGAGTGTTTCTTAATGTGGATATCCATGACTTGCACACAGATTTTAAAAGAAGAATCTTTTGCTAGAAAGGATTATGAACAAAACATCAGGTTTCCATTGTGCAACAATTTACCTCTCTTTATTTAGGTTTCAGGACCATCACGGAGTACACAGAGGTCATTAGCCAGTGAAGACAACTGTGATGATTCGTAAGTCTTCTTACTTCTCATTTCTGACACACCTGGGATGCAATGAACCAACTATGTGACCTATATCTATTATGTTTGCAGGCAATCAGGTTGCAGTTCGAAGAAAAGGAGAAGTCACTAAATCTCTCCATTGGTTGCATTGGTTTTCTTGGAGAGCAGGCTGATATGGTTGATAGTTGTGTTGTCGCAGTTGTCGCGAAGTGGTGGCTCTTGCGAAATTTGTTCCTTTATTTTTGTAAAACTTAAAACTTAGGAGCATATATTGCTGTAATGTTGTAGTATATCTGTACTGTATTATATGACCCTCTTGTCACCCTTCTCCCCTTCCTGTTTTCGAATGGAAAATTTTATACTGTCAATGGACAACTTGTACAGGAAATTAGCAAGTCTCCCTATACTCATATATTCATTCTTGATAATGTCAAGTACTGTATAGAAATGGATAATATCTTCTTGATTATTGGGATGGAGTGGAGTTATTCTATTTTTTTTCTTTCCCCTGTGGGGATACTTGTTATGCTTCAAGACTATTTTAATTGTCTATGATATATGTATGTTCAGGTGTTCTAGGTATGAAAAATTCCTTGGTAGGGAGGGATTTCCCTCTGGAATGGGGCCCTTTCAAGGTGTGTTTCTTTGAAAGTTTGAGATTTTATGTTGATATCGAACACTAGATGAAAAATAAAAAGAAGTATGTATATTTGTTGGAAGAATAGTCTTTGTGGGTTGGTAGCACTATAAATTGCTTTTGTAGTTGCGATTCGCCTTAAAGACAAAGCGCGATGAATATCTAAAGTGTTAGATAGTTTGTAATATATGAATACGCAAATACATATATTTCTATGTAAATTTGTGAAGAAAAGTCAGTTATAAGCTCAAATTGTTGTAGCAATTTATTACACATCTAATCTTGCTCAAAAGTGATAGTAATACCTCTTCCGTAGATAATCTAAATTTTGTGGGAAAAAAATATTGTACACGTGTTTTCATACAATAAATAATAATATTTCAATTTTTAAAAACCTTTATCTCTTTGATATTTTCTTAAACTTTTGCAAAAAAAAGTAAAAAATTGGACATCTTCCTCTCACCATACATTTCTATTTTTAAAATCTATTTCTTCTTCTTCGTCTCCATTGTTCATAAATTGAAGGAAAAGGTAAGAATCTGAAGATAATAGGAGTCACAAATCGATTATGAAGTAGATAGATGTTGACGGCAGCGACGGGCGATGGGCAACACCTTTGTTGCCAGTGGAACAAATAAAATTTTCAAATGTGATATTCTTTTAAAATCTTGATAACTATGTATGTAAATCATGCATTTCATTATTTTATTCTATGTATGTAATGATCTAATCAAATTTGCTATTGATGATTTGTGGCATAAAAGTAAAAGTTGTGATATTTGTAGGTAGTGCTCCGACGAGAATAGAAAAGACAAAGATGGAGAAATCATTTTCTTCAATGAACCTTTGATAAATTTAGGCAATATAATCATGAATTTTTTGCATTAATGTTGTAGAATTTTCAATAGGAATCATTATCTTTGTCATGATTATTTTTTGATAATCTTTTCTGATGAATCCTTCGGTGAGTTTGAACGGGAAAATCATAAATTTTAAGTTGAAAATTATTAATTTTTCTATGGAAGTCATCATCTTCTCCACTCCTTTTCTATTAGAGTTTCTCTTTGAGGGTAACTTTCATATATAGCTCACAAAAATAGCCTAATTATTCTCCACAATTTTAGTTTGATAATTATAATTCATAGTTGCATGTTATATAGAGGAGAGAGGTGAGTGAGACTGAGAGAGAGAGGGGACAGAGACGAGCGAGAGAGGGCAAAGAGTGGGAGAGAGGTGAATTGTATATGTATATTAGTTAGATAATTATATATTATACATATGTATTTGTACATATGACAAGAGGGACGGGGAGAGGAAGAAAAGGGGCGAGCGAGATTGGGAGAGGGAGGAGAGAGGCGAGTGAGAGAGGGCAGAGAGTGGGAGAGAGGTAAATTGTACACACACACACACAAATATATACATATATATATATATATATAGAGGTTAGATAATTGTATTTTATACATATGCACTTGAATATATGGCAAGTGAGATTGGGAGAGAGAGGAGGGAGGCGAGCGAGATTGGGGGAAGGAGGAGAGAGGCGAGCGAGCGAGAGCAAAAAGTGGGAGAAAAGTGAATTGTGTATGTATATCGGTTAGATAATTGTATATCATACATATATATTTGTTTATTTTGGCGAATAATACATATAAAAAAGTGGCTAATTATACAAATTCGAAATCAGCCCACATAATTAATGTCTAATATTAGTCGCGAGTGGTAATTATAACAAACTATAGCTATGATGAATAATTAAGTAGTATAAGTTTGCTTAACCGCATAATTTTCTCAACAATTAGTGGTGACAAATGTGATTTCTTAAGAAGAAGAAGAAGAACTCAAAATAAAGAAAAATGTAAATGCTGTAAAGAAATTGGAGTCACCAATAAAAAGATTAAAAAAGAAAGAAAACTGAAATAATGGATATAGTTAAAATTATAATATATAATTATATAATGTCCAATAAAATAGTGCTATGTGTTCAAATTTGTCATTTTAATATTTATTTTTTCTTTTAACTTAAGGAAAGTGAAAGCATTTTCTTTGTCATGTCACGTTCTAGGGATATTACTATCACTTTGAACAAGATTAGGTAGGTAATAGGTCGTCATGACACTTAAAGCGTGTAACTGACTTTTTGATACAAATTCATAGAGGAATTTATGTCTTTTCCTTGTATAAATACACATTTGTTAATGATAGAGCATGAAAATTTTGAAAAGTCATTTTATAATTATAAAAACTCTTAAAGTAGTATAAAAAAATATTCATATATAAACATGAGTTTTTTTTTTATGTTTTGAAGGAAATTTATTATATTTTTTCTAATTGTATATGAAAAATATCTCTTTAAGATTGTCTTGAAAGTTATGTGATGATATGAAATACCTTATTGGGATAAATCATACCCATATTTTTCAAAAGTTTATATTTTCATGCTTCAAAAAGCCATTTCTTCTTTAATTATATTACATTTTTTTGTTCTTTAATGCATGTACAATGACTCAAGAGTCATTGTGTTTTGGTGATTAATGAAGTTGGAATGACAAACATATGAAATTGTTATATACGTTACTTTTAATAGAAGTAAAACAATTTGTGATTTTTAGTTTGTTTGAATCTTTATTATAACCGATTGAAAAAAAATTGTAAGGATGATAAGATTAGGTATATAGTAAGAATAAATTTTTTCTCCTTTTTTGTTCGTTTGAGTCTAAATTGCCCAAAGACAAAACTTATCTTGAGTTGAGTCTATGAGCTCCTCACCCCACCCCACTCACCCCACCACCAAAAAATATGAAACTCATCGAGAGCGGAGCTTGTCAAGAATGAATAATTATTTTATTCAAATATGTTGAAGCACTAAGAACGTAACTCATTTTAAGTAGAGCCACGAAGCTCTAATGATTCAACGTGGATAAATTTTTTCATCGAGTATCTAAAGCCGCTAGATATGAAATTACTTGCGTGTGAATCTTCGTCCTTACCATCACAAATAATGATTTTAGTAGAATATGTAAAACTCAAATAATAAATTCATCAAAAGTGATTTAAACTGAATAGTAACTTAAGTTGCTTACTAAGAATGAAATTTAGTAATTTAAGGTGAATTACAATTTGAATAGAGTCTTCCTTACCCCCGAGGATGGAACTAAGACAGATACTTCAAAAACGATAAAAAATTATAAACGACGTGAATAATGATTCTAATAAATTATTCTAATTAGTCGAATAAATGAATATCAAAAAAGAAAAAAAAAGTTTATTAAATAATTTAACTAAAAAAACAAACAAAAATTCTATTTTTTTAATTAAAATATTTAATATATGATTACAATAGATCCGACCTGAACCCATTGGCACCATTTGGCCATTTTTAGTTCTTTCCCCAACACATTTAGTTTCATAATCAATTTTCCCCCTTTTCCAATTAGCATAGGGTTTACTATTTCTACAAATTCATTGCCAAAATCCATATATGCATCGAAAATTAACAATGGAGAATGGTGATGGAACAAATTGGAAAAGGATAAGGGCTGAAGATGTAATATGTGAGCTCAAGGACGATGGCGATTTCGATAAACATCGCCTCAAAATTGTCAGTATTTGCTTATTCCTCTTTGGTTTGTTGTTTAGGGTTCTTCATTGGGATTAAACTGTTAAGAATATTTTTTTTTATCTTCGGTTTCTGTATTGTTTTATCTGTTTTTACATCAATTTACGCTAAATCCTGAGTTGGGTTTTGTTCTGTTTGCTCTATCAAAATTGTATGTGATTGGTATTGGAATTTCGGCTTACACTGGGAGTGGTGCTAGAGTAGAAGGATCCTTAGAGTACAAGGTTAATAGGTAGTTGTTTTTGTAAAAGGGTTTTTATTATTATAATTACTTCAATGTATGTGTATCTTATTCCTGGATTTTATTTTTACTTCTTGTTCTCTTGGTTTCAGTTATTGTACTGCTAGTTGTTGATAAAGCTCTTTGATTTTTTTTTCGAAATGGCTTATATGATGTTGCTTTGGTATGTTTGATATGCTTTACTTGTGCTGAAGGTCTTTCGGAAACAACCTCTCTACCTTCGTATGGTAGGGTTAAGGTCTGCATACACATTACCCTCCCAGTCTCCACTTGTGAGATTACAATCGGTATGTTGTTGTTGTACTCCAGGTGTGAGGCGAGGCCTGTAGTTTTTGTGGGCTGGGGCCTTCTATAGAGAAAAAAAGGTGAGGCAAGGGGTGTAGTCTCTCTAGGACGGGTGCTTACTATTGAGGAAAAAGGGTGTGTATAGGCAGGCTCGAATTAGATATTACTTTACAGCAGAATGGGAAGACTGTAATAACTGATACGTGGCATGTAGTTTTTCTGGTGTGGGTGCAGTATTCAGGAAAAAAAAGGGTGTGTTGAATGAGTTGGCAGATTTAGTCATAATCTGCTCCACCATTGAGCTGGCAGATTTGATTATAATCTGCTCCACAAATAAAGCTGGCAGATTTGTGTAAATATAGGATTAGAATATAATATTCTAGGAAAATAGTTTAGATGAAATTCCTTGATTCAAGGATTTCCTAAGAATTAGGGATTGATTAGTTTAACTGGTCTTTACTTGTTCTCCTATAAATACTGTACAAATACTATGAATAAAATATACTTTTGCAATATCTAAACTTTCAGGGTACAAAGATAGGCTTAAGCTAAGATTCCACTTGCGAGCATAGTGGGCAGACTGTGGTATAAGGTATATAGTTTTGCCTCCTTAGAGAAAAAAAGAGGTGCTGGCAGACTGTGATATGACTTATGAGGCATGCATTTCTGGGGCAGGTGCCTCCTGTTTAGGTGAAAAGAGGTGCAGGGGTAGGCTTGAGCTAAGATTTGACTTGTGAACATAACGGGCAGACTATGATACTGACTAATGGAACAGAGATCAGGGTGATGCAGTAGTTGATGGATAAAAATGTACTTAAGAATTCTTGCATTGTCAATTCAACCTAATTCTTATTAACTGGCTGCACCAGGTCGCTAACCCTTCTTGCAGTGTACAAATCTATGCTATACTAGATTGCTATTTGTCGTTTCTTTTTAAATAGCTTTATAATCATATTGTCAGTGTAGAATATTAAACCTTTAGGCCATAATTGTGTAGCACATGTCCTACATATGTGGTTTTGCTTGTTTCAGCAAAAACTTGGAGACTTAACATTGTTAAAAAACAAAAATCTGCTTCTCCTTAATTTGAAATCATAGAAAGTACAAACAAGGGGCATTAAGGACTTTACAGGATGCAAAAAGAACTTACTGGCAGGATTCTAGTGGCATGTTAAACTTGAACAGGCCTTTACTTGAAAGCTTGAGTTCTGTTGCATCTACTATAGAATTATGTTAAACAGAACTAATTGTACAAAATGTCAATCAGCAAGCATTCCATAACTGTGGTTCTGACGTCTTCTCATTTACCAATAGAATACCTTGATTATTGATCTACTGGGTTGCTAGTTAAGCTAGACCAATAAAGCTTACCACTCAGCTTGTAGTAGGGCTGGGTTTCAGTTCAGTATGAGTTGGTGCAAAGTGATTTCAGATTGATATTGATTGAAGGTACAGTTCTCGCAAGTTTAGGGTGAATTTGCTTAGAGTAAGAATCTTTTAGTAGTTCTTTTCCGTCCCTACAAAAAGTTCTGGTAACAGCTGGTTATAGTTGTAGTTCTGTCTCGGCTCTGTCTACCCTTGTGCGGTCTGGACTTCACTCTTTTGATATTCAGGTATGAGTAATTCAGCTTTGCTCGGCATATTCACTTTTTTGTTACATATAATTATCTTTCAAGTGTATTGATAGAATAAATGCTCTTTGATTATGTAAATTTGCTCGGCATATTCTGTTGATTATCAGTTTGTTAAGCTCTTTGTTGTGTCATTTCCACCAGCAACTAGTTTTAGGTTCTGATTTAGGTATCATGCCAAGTATGTGTGGAACAATTAAATTTTAGTTTCACCATCAATAGAAGAATTTTTCTTTTAATTGATCGTGATTCTTCATAAATTTTATAAGTTCAGCTTTTTTGCTAAGCTTTCTTATCAACTAGTTGCAAATATTTTTTTTTCTTTAAAAAATACGTGCATGCATAAGAAACAGTTGTTTGTTCTTATTGGTATGATCAATCTTGTCTCCGCACGGAAGTTTCTTTGTGTTAGAGACTAATAGTTCGTATCTAATACTATATTATCTTACACATGTTCCTTACATGTTATTACAATCTTCTTTTTAAAGAAATGTCCTAAAGCGATGTTCATTTTCTAAAGACTTGTAACCAAGCTCCTTTTTATTTAGTTTGAAGAGCTTTAAAAGTGAATTTTCTTTCTTCAGTTGTCGAAAGTCTCTTTAGCAATCTAAGGATATTAATTCTATCGCATCCGAGTCCAACGAAAATTCTTGCTTCTACCTTCTCATCAAAAGAGGTGCTATGGTGTTTAGCAAATCGACAAGATTCTCAATCCAATGAAGAAATATTTTGAAACTCAGGACAAAGCTTCTTCAACAAAGGTAGTGAAGGATGTCCCAATCGTCAATGTGCTAAAAATGGAGAAATAACACCTGAGCATGCAACAAACCGAGGCTCCCAATCAAGCAACAGAGAGGAAATTTGAACCAGCAGCATCAAAGATCAGACAGTTGTCTGGCTCAAAACAGACCAAACAGCAGCAGAGAAAGGAATTCAAACTAAAGTATCACCAAAAGAAAGATTGCAGAACCTTGATCGTGATGTTAAATCTTCATAATGTAGTCCAATGATAAGAAAACCACCATAAATCAACTGGGAATCTTAAGGTAACGTCAAATCAGTAAGACAGACCACCAGTGGTGAAGTCACATGAACCAGAAATATGGCAGCGGCTAGTTCCGGCAACCACCAGTGGTGAGGCGCGAGAGCAAGGAATTGGAGAGAATAACTTGTATCTTATTCAATAGGTAAACATGTATAAATACAATAATATTAGAAGCTAACTAAGGAAAGAAATAAAGAGGAAATCCTAACGATATGCTATCTATCTATATCTTTGTAGAATATTTAGAAAGATATCTGTATAACACCAAGTGAGATCAATTACAGTACCAAGGGAAAGAAACCTACTTCACCCTTCTTAATAACTATCAACAACCTATAGTAATCAAAATTATTCCACTGCTCGGCTACCTACCACTCCAAACTAGCATGTATCTATGTACTCCATCAACTTTCTATTCCAACTCTTGTACAAAGTCCCAGTTTTATGTGATGAAGAAGTGCTTCCATTGGTCTCTTAATTTGTTGAAAAATCCTCTTGTTTCGTTCAGTTGTTGTATAGAACCGCAGCAAAACTGACCTTCAAGATGATACCTCTTTCTTGTTTACTCTTTGCCTTCTTATCCACCCATTTCTGTTCATCTTCCCATTGAAGTATGCCTCTATGCCATTTATTCCATGCTAGTATTGATGTCCATGATGCTTTGGTATAGGGGCATTTAAAAAATAAATGATCTGTACTTTCAGGTTCATCATTACATAGGACACATATTGCTGCTACTGGAATACCCCATTTCAATAGTAGGTCTTTGGTTTGTAGCCATAGTATAGTATAAATATATGTTTTGCTTCAGCACAACTATGACATACCAAGTTCTTCCATTTCACATTAGGACCCTCACCTCTTAGCTGGTGTATACGCCTTTGAGATTAGAAATTTTCCTTTGTGGATCAGCTTTTCGGTGACTCCCTAAGTCTGCCAGAATTTCCTCATATGCAATATCTTTTGCAACATCCATGATGCTTGTGTTGGAACTTTCATAGTCTCAATAAGGAATTAGTTTCCCTGTGAATTTTCTTTCTTCAACTGTCAAAAGTCTCTTAAGCAATTTATTAATATTAGTTTCATAGAATAGCCTTCATCAAAAAAAAGTTTCATAGCTGTCCAACTTAAGGCAATGTTCTTGCCTCTGGCTTCTCATTTGACTTTAAAACTAATCATTCATTAAGGTAAGGAGATTTAATGTTGGATCTCTCAAGTCTTAAATAACTATAGCAAGGTGATATTGATCCATTTTAATCATGATTAATTACAACTGCTAAACCCTTAAATATCCAAGACTATGTCAGAGTGATACTTAAAAGAGTCCATTCTTCGACATTTTAGAATAATGCTCACTATTTTGAGAGTCTTCAACTAAAATAGAGAAGTAAAGTTTATTCATCTTTCTCTATGAAAAAATGGAAAAAAAAATCTCAAACAACAACAATATAACCACTAGGGTTCGGAGAGGGTAGAAGGTACGCAAACCTTAACTCTACCTCATAGGTAGAGAGGTTGTTTCAAATAAACCTCAACAGTCCAAAGCAATCCCAAAAAGAATTTATGGAAGTTCAAGAAACAACAACTAATAACAAAAACAAATAGATAGTAAAGGAACAAAAACTACAAAAAAAACAATACCATAATCGAGGTGAGGTATAAGGAATCAGAGATTAGTTGAACGACATGACACTACAAGAGCAATAGTACAACTAATACAAATGGAATAACACACTTCTACCAACTAACCTTCTACCACAATTGTGTCCTTTGCACCCTCCTATCTAAGATCATGTTCTTAGCATGCTAAAACTACGTCTTTCCTATCTATTCAACACTCTCTCTAATACTAATCGCGTCTACCTCTAACTCTCCTCAAACCCACATGATAAAACAATTAAGTCTAGAAATCTATGATTATAAATAATTCATTTACAACTTCAACATAATAATAATAAAATACTCACAGAATGCAACTAAAACTCAAACTAACCGGGTTCATTCCCAAGAAACCCACATAATAAGACAATCCAATTCGCAAATTCTTTGCTCAAAAATGATTCATTGACAACTTCCACATTATAATAAAATGCTCACATATTCAACAAAATTCGACTTCAAAAAAAGAAGAGTAAACCCCCTTGATAAAACCACTTGGTCAACAAAAATAATAGTTTATTTACAGTCAAAACAACTACGGAATTACACTCTTCAACATTCATTTTGAATGAGTAAGAAATTGAATGACCAAAAAGAGTACTTATATTTCCATGTAAACTTTACATTGGTTTCAGTGATAATTGAAGTAACTCTATGCCGCAAAACTGAAAATGGAAAGGAGAATCTACCTTAAAAATTACGGAGATAACTCCATTTGGAACGAGAGAGAGCGGAATAGCAAATATATTTTCCATATTATGGAAAATATAATATGGAAAATATATCTGCTATTCCACTCTCTCTCGTTCCCACCGAGGTTTTTTATGTGATTTTAAAGGTAAATTCTCTCCATTTTCAGTTTCGCATAATAAAATTACTTCTAAAAACGCTTAAACTAATGTTTACATGGAAAAAATTGATTAACCTTTTGGTGATTCAGTTTCTTACTTGCTCGGGAGGAATGTCGAAGAGCGTAATTCTGAAATTGTTTTGGCTGTAAAAGAATTTTTTTTGTCGGTTGAGTGGTTTTATCATGTGGCATTTCTTTCTTTTTTGACTGTTGGTCGAATTTTGTTGAATTCTGTGAGCATTTTTTGTTACATTGTTGAAGTTGTGAATGAATCATTTGTAAGCAAAGAATTTGCCAATTAAATTTTTTTGTAATGTGGGTTTTCTGATTTTTTTCCCCTCAAAGAATGATGAATGAATCATTTTTGGTCATTCATTATCTTACTTGTTAGGAATGAATGTTGAAGAGTGTAATTTCGAAGTTGTTTTGGTTGTTTTATTTTTGTTGATTGAGTGGTTTTATCATGTGGGATTTCCTTTTATTTTTCTATAAATAAAGATGAATTAACTGTTGTAAAAGTTCGTTGGATTTTATTGAATTCTGTGAGCATTTTTTTATAATTTGGTAGTTATAAATGAATCTTTTTATGCAAAGGATTTGCAGATTGGATTGTTTTATCATGTGGGTTTTTAGGGGGTGAATGACCCGGAGGTCAGTTGGAGTTCTTATTGAATTCTGTGAGCATTTTATTATTATGTTGAAATTGTAAATGAATTATTTATAACATAGAATTTGTAGACTGAATTGTTTAATCATGTGGGTTTAGGAGAGGTAGAGGTAGACTGGATAAGTATTAGAAAGAGGTGATTTGATAGGAGATGACATAGTTTTAGCTTGTTGAGGACATGACCTTAGGCGGAAGGGTGTGGAGGACACTATTGGGGTAGAAGTTTAGTAGCTACTAAGTAGAAGTGTGTGTTGTCCATTCGTATTAGTAGTTGTGTTCTTCTAGTTTCATGTCCTTCGATTTTCGGTACTATCTTTTGTTCCTTATACTCCCATTGTGGTATTGTTGTTTTGTAGTGTCTTTTCTCTTACTATCATTGTTTTTGTTATTATTTTTGTTTCTTAGACTTTCGATACTTCTTTTTGAAGTGTTTCAGACCGTTTTCCTTGAGTCAAAGGTTTATTCGAAATAACTACCTATGAAGTAGGTGTAAGGATTTGTGTACCATCTATCCTCCCCAAACCCTAGGGGTGGCAAAATTCGAACCGATCAATAAATCAAATCGGAAAAAGTGTTATTGGCTTATTGTAACCGAGTTATTGGGTTAACGGTTATTTAATGGTTTTACAAAAAAAATTTATTAGGTTGTCGACTCGTTATTGGTTTTTAATATTGGGTTATTGGGTTAACTGATAACCCATTAAGAATTTAATAATAATTTTTTTTTTATATATATATATATATATATATATGAAACAAAAAATATTACTCCCTCCGTTTCAAATAGAATGACCTCCTTTCCTTTTTAGTCTGTTTCAAAAAGAATGACCTCTTTCATTTTTTGGTAAAATTTTGTTTTCAGTTTTCGACGTGGCATGTTTGAGGCCACAAGATCAAAGGGCAATTTCGTACATTTGACCTAACTTTAATTTAGGATTCAAATGTCTTCTTTATATTCTCAAATTTCGTGCCAAGTCAAACCAGGTCATTCTTTGTGATACGGAGGGAGTAATATAATTAGTAGTATATTAGACCAAAAATATAAAAATCCTACGCAATAAATAATAATTAACATTACTTATTGCTTAACACTTAAGGATTTGCGAGTTACTTTCAGAAGTTCTCTTCATTTTACCTTCTGATATTTATTTTTTTATCTTCTTTGAGGTTTTGTACTCTTAAACCTAATCGCACTGTCATTCTGTTCCCTTTCTTTCTGCAGGAGGTTGTAAGCAGATATGCCGTCAGATACTGCAAGAGAAAATGCATCTATAGCTTATTCTGTAGTGACCGATTGCACAAATGAAAGAAGGAATTCTGACGGACCAGGTAACGCTGATGCGAAATCTTTTCATAATTCAGTAATCTGTGTTGGTTTTGCTTTGTTTTGTGTTTTTTTATTGTTTGAGTAGTTTCTACTGTTGAGATTTGTAACAAGGTTTCCTTGAATGTGTCCGCATGACAGAGACACGGATCTGGTTATTTACACTGGCCCACAATTTAATATTGGTGCAAAAGTTGTATGCGTTAAGTATCTTTTAGCTGGCTTTTCTATTCAACTGATGAGCAATAAGTATTCTTTAACGTGTTAGGGATGGCCAAACAATTCCAGTCTTTTCTACTTTGACTGGAACTTCACTTGAGAATTAGAAAGAGCTTGCTGAATTTGATAGAAAAGGAGGTCGACTAGTTAGTAATTAGTAATGCCATGAAGAGTTCTAGTTACTTGCTTGGTTTCTTGAGGCTGTAAGGTGGCTTGATATTATAAGGTCTTCCCACTAAACCAAAACTGAAACTAAGAACCTGATTGATTGGGCTTATTCCCTTTAGATTTATAATTTTGTTTTGCCTATTTGTCTTAAGAAACTTAAAAAACACTTTTATTTTACCCAAACACTTCAAAAGTGCTTAATAACACTTGAAATAAGCCAATCTGAACAGGCTCTAAATCTTTTCCTAATTCAATTCTGCGTGTTGTTCATTTGTATGAGCAGTCATGGCTGTCTTTTGAGATTGTGTAGAAGTTTCACACCCTCCATGAATTTGTATGCATAAAATGCGGAGATGGTTTAAATGCACAACTTCTATTCCCGTCTAATGAATGTGATACTTCAAGTATCTTTTGTTTGGAAATGCTATGAAGTTCATGGAGCAATAATACTGCATAACTTCATCATTTCAACACAATTTGTTGGAGAAACAAAGGGTAAATCGAACAATAAATGTTACTTATTGATGAGAATAAACGCTATGGTTTTCTCCTTTTTTTGTGTGTGTGTTAACACTCTGTTGTCAGCATCCTGTTCTAACATTCCATCAAGATTTTGGCCCTCGTCTCTAATTAGCCTAATAGTTCTTTATTCCACATAATGTCCCTCTTGAGATGCCTTAGTGTCTTCATAAGGACATAATCTGGACTTCCAGTTACTTGATAATGTTGCTCCATTAATTAAATTACCTTACTTTATAAATAAATTAGTGACGGTACAAGGAGCTTCAGTTACTCGCATAGCTTATTGAGTATGTTCAATCTGGAATACTTCACTTCTTAAGAATCGGAATCCAATTTCATGCCTTCATAGTGAACCTGTGGTGTACATACAGTTTGAGATCTTTTGATAAAACCTTCAACCTGTTGTCTAATTGGATTTTAATCATGTTTGACAAGTAGCTTGGCAATGACAATACGTAATCTACCCCCCCCCCCCCCCTCCTCTCTCCTCCCACTGGGAATAACAGGCTTATTGTGTTCTCAAAAAGTTCACTTTTTTTTATCTCAACTTCAGGGAGTGACTCCATGAAGTTCTTTCAGTTTCCACTCCTTTTGGTGCATTCTATGTCATTATAGTAACTAGTAACTGCTACATGAGTGTATATGTGTTAATGATAACACATTACCTCGTGAATTGGTAGTCCTCTATGTTCTTATTCATGAAAGGTATCCCCGATTACACCGAAGACATAACAATAAAATGCAGTTTAACTTGACTTGCGTAATTATTTCGTAGTAAATTCGCAGAAGTAGGCTGTCTGCTCATTCATTTTTTTTGGTTAAAGTAATTAAATGATATTAGAAAGCATCAAGAAGATGCGAAGTTACAAAAGCACCTTGTGCAAAAAAGCTGCTCCAAACAGAAAATATGGAGCTAGCTTGGCAAAAACTTGTGAAACAGTCAATAGGGAACCCTGCTACTCTACTGTACTAGAGATAGGGAACTAACAAAATCCGAAAGGTTATCCACACTGTTTACATTGGCATTAAAGTGCCAGCTAAATAAACTAACTAGACATTGGGCTTTAAGAGTGCATAAAGAGGTTGATATTCCATTAAAGCATCTGTTGTTTCTCTCTTTCCATATGCTCCAAAAAATGGCTGCTGGGATCATTCTCTAGATCTTTCTGATGGATTTGTCAACTTTACAATATCCAGCTGGCATAAGCATCCTTCATGTTGTAGGGCATTACCCATTGTAGGCCAAGCATAGAGTAGAAATAATACCATAAGCTAATTGTTGCAGGGCAGTGCAAAAAAAGGTGATTAACACTCTCATTGGTTTGCTTGCACATGACACATCTGTTGATGAGGATTACACCTTTTTTCCTGAGGTTGTCTTGTGTTAGACATGCTTCCTTCAAGGCTGTCCAGGTGAAACAAGAAACTCTAAGGGGTTGCCTAGTTTTCCAGACATGTTTCCAAGGCCAAACTAGTAGAATGCCATTCTGGGAGCTCAAATGCTAGTTTTCCAGACATGTTTCCAAGGCCAAATTAGTAGAATGCCATTCTGGGAGCTCAAATTTTTGTAACATTCTTTCACAGTGTAGGTCTTCTCCTTAGAATTACCCCAAAGAATCTTGTCTTGATCTTCGACCACCAATGTAGTGTTTTGCAGAGTTTCTAAGAGGGAAAGGAGGTCATTAATCTCCCAATCCCGGAAGTTCCTTCTGAAAATAGGTGTCCAATGGTTGTTGTCTCTGTACTGGGCTATAGTTGCTTATTTGTTGGAGGCTATCTGGAACAAGGAGGGGAAATAGTCTTTTAGCCTAGAGTTCCCAAGCCATCTGTCTTGCCAAAATCTGATCTTGAGTCATTACCAGCCTTGACGGATACTTCCTCGAAGAAATTATCTTTGAAACTGCTTATCTGTTTCCAGACCCCAACACCATGGGGTTCAGTGCTTTTCATTGGACTGTAGTGATCTTGAATGCCATATTTAGCCTTGATGATGTCTCTCCTAAACCCAGCGGCCAGCCTCAGTTTGTCCAATCTCCAGAGCCACTTTATGAGTAAGCTCTTGTTGTGAAGTTGGAGATTTCTGATCCCCAAGCCTCCTTGAAACTTAGGTTGAGTTACTGATTTCCATTTAACTAGAGAGTACTTGTGAATGAGACTATTTCCTTCCGATAGAAATCTCCTTCTGAGCCTATCTATTTGTTTCGAAATTGAACCTGGTATTGGAAATAGAGACATGCAGTACGTAGAATACTATCTAGTACACTGTTGATGAGAGTGAGCCTACCTCCCATAGAGAGGTATTGCATTTTCCATGTAGCAAGTCTCTTTTCCATTTTTTCAATAACTCCATTCCAAATTCCTGAAGATTTGAAACTTGCCCCCAAAAGAAGACCTAGATAGGTGGTGGGTAACGATCCTATTTTGCAACTAAGTATGCCAGCAAGTTCCTCTAGATTGTCCACCTGATTAACCAGATATATAGCACTTTTGAGCATGTTAATATAGAGTCCGGAGATAGCTTCAAAAACTATAAGGGTGGTGTTTAGATTGGAGACTTGTTGCCTGTCAGCTCCACAAAAAATGAGAGTGTCATCCGCATAAAGAAGGTGAGATACATTGACAGTGGTGGCTGGATTGCTGCCTACTTGAAATCCTTGAATCCATTGAAGTTCTTTAGCCCTAGCTAGTAACTGAGATAGTCCTTCCATAGCCAGAATGAATAGATAAGGAGAGAGTGGATCCCCCTGCCTCAACCCCTTTTGAGTAGAGAAAAATCCAACTGGACTTCTGTTGATCAAAACTGAGAACTTCATTGTTGAAATGCAGAAGTATATCCTCTTATCCACCTATCACCAAATCCCATTTGTTTCAGTATATTGACTAGATAGGCCAAGTTAAATTGGTCAAAGGCTTTCTTTATGTCCAATTTACATAAGATCCCAGACTCACCACTTCTGATTCTCCAGTCTAGCACCTCATTAGCAATCAAGGATGCATCAGTTATTTGCCTATTCTTTAAAAAAGCACTCTGCTGCCCCGAGACTAAAGAATTCATCACCCTTTTCATCCTTTCTGCTAGGATTTTAGCCAACAACTTATAGACACTACCTATGAGGCTTATAGGCCGATAGTGTTTAAGCTCTACAACACCTTTCTTCTCTGGGATTAGAGCAATAAAAGAAGCATTACAAGACCTCACCATTTGGCAATTCTGGTGAAAGAAATTGAAAGCTGCTAGTATATCCTCTTTAATGAAGCACCATGATTTTTGGAAGAAAGCCATGGTATTACCATCAGGTCCTGGGGCTTTGTCAGGGGCACAAGCCATAAGAGCATTAGAGATCTCCAGTTCAGTGAAAGGAAGTTCAAGTTCCTCCTTTTCTTCTATTCTTAGGGTGGACATGTTCTCAAAAACAGCTGAGGGTCTCCAGGATTCAGCTTCCTTGTATATTTGTTGATAATACTCCAGAATGCCATTTTGTATCCTTCCTTTATCTTCAATCAGTTCATCTCCTATTCTCAGTCTGTCAATGGAATTACACCTTCTACATGAATTGGCCATTCTCTGAAAGAACTTTGTGTTCTTGTCCCCCTCTTTAAGCCATAAGTATCTAGATTTTTGCCTCCATGAGATCTCTTCAGCTGTTGCAATCTGTTGAAGTTGCAGTTTCAGATTCAAGAACTGTGTTTTCTCTTGTGTTGAAAGGGTTCTGAGTTCAGCTAAATGATCCAACTTCCCTAATTCCAAAAGAGCTTTAGTTCTTTGGGTTTCAATGTTTCCATACACCTCCCTGTTCCACTTAGAAATATCTTTCTTTAGGTTTCTGAGTTTCTGCAACAGCACAAAGTCTGGGGCTCCCTGAATGCTGTAGGACTGCCACCATCCTTTTATCATATCAATGAAGCATTCTGCTTGAAGCCACATGTTTTCAAATTTGAAGTAGGATGGTGATGCCTCCCAATCTCCACTTTCCAGGATGATGGGTTTATGATCTGAAAATACTCTTGGCATTGTATATTGTTTGATAGTCCTGAACATCTCACTCCATTCTGATGAATAAAGAAACCTGTCAATTCTTGAGGCTTGGAGTGTCTCCTCCCCTCTTGACCATGTGAACTGTTCTCCTTGGAGAGGAGGATCAATCAATTCAAGATCCAAAATGGTATTGGAGAAACCCTGCATAGCACTGGATCTTCTATTACAGTTTAGCCTTTCATCCTCGAATCTACACACATTGAAGTCTCCTCCTATGACCCATAGATCAGACCACAACTCCCTGATTGATGCTAACTCCAACCAAAGGTCCTCCCTTTCTGGGTTGGTATGAGGTCCATATACTCCGGTGAAAACCCATTTGAAGTCTTCAGAGGTGCTCTCAAATCTACATGACAGGGAGAAGGCCCCTGCCTCCAACTCAACACAATTCCAAGCCTTTTTGTCCCATAAAATTAACAGTCCACCTTTGGTGCCAATTGCTTTGACTTCTGCCCAGGAGACCAGTTGTTCCCCCATATTTGTCTGATTAGAGATGGATTCCAAGACTCTATTTTGGTTTCCTGTAAACAAACAATGTCTGCTCCCCACTTTTGGATAAGAGATTTCAAAGTACTCTCTTATCTTTATTATTGAGACCCTGTATATCCTAATTGAGTATTATCTTTATTATTGAGACCCTGTATATCCTAATTGAGTATTTTAACTCTCATCTGGAATGAGAGTTGTGGTGCCTGCCCCTATCTTTCTTTCCACTTCCATCTTGGAGACCCCAATCCAGTTTTTTAAGTTCATTTGTTGCTTTGCTTTTCCCTTTTTTAGCGTCCCCAGACTTCTTCCCTTGTTCAAGAATCTGAGTTTTCCTCTTTTCCTCCATTCTTAATATAATATCCAGAATTTCATGCTCGAAACCTGAAACATTTACCCCAAGCACTTTGCAAGCCATCATCATAGTAAATTTGGTCCATTTTGATATTTCCACAACAGTCGGTGAATCAACTGTTTGTGGTGAATGATCATTATGCCACGGTAGAGGCAGAAAACTGTTGAGCGACTGGGAAGAGAGACTGGAACTGGAATTGTACCCTGAGATGGGAATAGGATCTTGTGTGTATATGCCCAAAGAAGGAGCAGATATTTCTGCTTCATCATCCGCTTTAAGCTGTGAAAAGACTCCTGCATTATGCTCCAAATTCCGGTGATTAGATGCTTGAACTTCCAATTCCAAAGCATCAAAAGATGTTGCACTGAAGGAAGTTGAAGGTTTAAAGCTGCATGGGTCTGCTTTGGTTATGGAGGCTCTCCATGATTGCATTCTGTTATGTTCCTTGTGTTGCTTCCTTTTGTTTGGGCCTTTGGAATAATAATCGTTATTCCAGTCTAAACAAGTTCTCCCATGGTAGTGTTGGGTCGGCCATTTAAATTGAAATTTAAATAAGACTTGCCCTTTCTTGTCCACAGATTCCTCACGTGGATTTTTATATCTGATATCACGTGGGACTGAATGGGACTCTGTTCCCAGCAGCTTTTCAACCCTAGCCAACTCAGGGTTTTGTCCAGTGGGTAATGAAGAGGATCAGATCTCCAAAATTAATGCCAATCGAACAACCAGCCAGCAAATTTGAAATTCAAACTCGCTGGGAATTTCATGACTGAATTTTTGACACAGATACAAGCCCAGAGAAAGTGGGATCTGTTCTTTGTATCTTCGTCAGCTCCAATAAAGCCTCCGCATCTATCCTCTATACGCTCAAAAGTGTCCATGGTCCAAGCATTTAAGGGAATCCCAAATACTTTTAGCCAGATAGTGGCTCCCCTGTCTGAGAGTTGATATTTTTTGACCACCACGACAGACTGAGGTGCCTTCCGTTCCAGAACCATTCCCCAGCTTTAACTCTTATTGCTTCTTGTCTCAAAGGGGACTCGAAGAGGAATTTATTGTGGTCAAGGGGCGTGGCTTTGAAACCAGCAGTGACTTTTCATCTAGAGATGAACCATTTTTTAATTAACTCAGGGTTCGGGCTGTGATGAAAAGGGTCATTGAAAGTGCCGACTAAGCTTCTGTGGAGCGGATGGTTGTCATTGACTCCACCTATGTGTGCTGGTCGGCTGATTTCTGGCCAGCTTACTATGCTAGCAGCAGCCCGATAGGATTTTGTCAATGGAGACGGTATTGGTGGTGGCCCTGACTTGTTGAATTTCCCCAGAAATCGAATGATTTTAGTCGCGAATCTGTCCACCCACTGTTAAAGCTCATCTCCGGAATGATTACTGCAGATTTAGAGGAGCCATGCCATACTTCAATGCGAACGAATCTGCCATATACGTTGAATTTTTGATAGACTCTGTATAGGTTGTGCTGTTGTTTTCTACCCCACCTTCTGTATAGTTGTCCATAACCCTTTGAAGCTTGTATTAGGATCTCACATACCCATCTTAGATTGAGTGGATCTAAGCTTACCTTACTTGTAAATCTCCTGCCTCTTTCTATCAAAGAAAACCAGCTGAAATGTGTATCCCCTGTATTCTTGAGTTCGAAAGATTTATCCCCGCTAATGAAAAAGAGCTTTTCCTCCATAATTTAAAAAAAATTCCGGTGGTCTAAAGCTACCGGAGGAAAAGATTCCTCAGACTTTAGGAGATTGCCTTGGGACTAGTGCCAGAGAGCATGAAAACTTTTTTCATAAAAAATTTCCGTTCATTCATTTTCTTCTGGAAAATGTTTTTGAGTTGTTGGAACTTGATGATTGATTTCTATGCACAAATAGTTTGAGTAAATTCCTATGCTTGCTATATTATTTTTGGTGGTGAATAATGCTTATTTTTCTTTACTGTAAGTCTTACTATTTTCTGGGCTGTTTTGTATGTGAGCCCTCATAGATATCGTGTAGCATCCTTGATGATCAGTGTTCAGGAGCTAACTCCGTTTTGTCTAATTTCTTGTGAAATTCAACATCTCCTGACTGTAACCTTTATGAAGTTTCACGCTACCTGATCGCAGAAATAAAAAATAAAAAGAAGATATATTGTAGCTTCGTTGTCCTTGACATGAATGTAGTGGTTAAATGATAAATATATGAATTACTATATACTGGTACATCAACATGATTCAACTTCAAATATTAACTCTTCTTTCAGATAGTTCATGCCTCGGAGTTATTGAGGGTGGTGAGTTCACAGTTTCATCTCCGTCGACTGGAATTTCAAGTGCAATTGAAAAGGGTAAACTCTATGGCATAAGATATTTTGTAATCAAGAGTTTAAACCATGAAAATATCCAATTATCAGTAAACAGAGGGATTTGGGCTACTCAAGCCATGAATGAGGCCATTTTGGATGAAGCATTTCATGTAAGTCGTTTTTCCTTTTATATCCTCATGAGATTATAATATTATGAGCATTGATAATATATATATATATATATATATATATATATATATATATATCTTACAATATAACAAATGTTTGTGTTATTTTGCGCGCAGAATTCCAGCAAGGTTATACTAATATTCAGTGTCAACATGAGTGGGTATTTCCAAGGGTACGCCCAAATGATTTCTTCTGTCGGTTTGAGAAGAGACCAAGTTTGGAGTCAAGGAAATGGTGGTCGTAATCCTTGGGGTCGAAGCTTTGAAGTGAATTGGCTGCGATTGTATGATCTGCCTTTCCAAAGAACTCTTCACCTTAAGAATCCATGGAATCAAGACAAACCAGTCAAAATTAGTAGAGATTGCCAGGCATGGGTTATATTCTTGTCTTAGTACTATTCACTTGTTTTTTCAATGTACTCTTGTTAGTAAAGAGGCTTTTATGACCCTGGTACATGTATTGCTGTCAGGAGTTACCTCCAGATATTGGTGAAGCTTTATGTGAGCTTCTTGAAGGACAGGATTCTATGGATGTTGATTTGAAAATGTATAGCCCTTTCCTCTAAAACTTAAATAGTGTGTTGCCGTTCCATTATTTGGAAACAGACAGCCTTTTCTCAAAATTGAATTAGTACTACAGTTGTGGAAAAATTTGTCCAATTGATTTTTCTCTTTATAATTGTTATTGGCTCATCCAGGGATACCTTTGCAAGGAATGATCTCTCTTCTAAAAGGCCATATGTAGAGCCTTCACTGCATCTTGGATTTCAAGACTGTAATGCATCTCTGGTACCTAATGGGACCATGTTTTATCCCTCTTCACTCTATCAACATCAAATTGATGCTAGTAGACTTCAGGTAGCACCTGTGAGAATAAATGGTGTATTTTCTGCTGAAGAGTCAGCCATTGCATCAGTGGAATCAAAGTCGAGACAGTCGAGGCATTCAAAGAGGAATAGAAGCCTTGCTAATCTTCATGTAGATACTGGCATGGGTCCTCAAATTAACATGTTGGGCTTGCCGGCAGAAAGGAGCCCACTTTCTAGTAATTTGACTGAAGTTGACATTCTTGAAATGGTTTGTGTTTCCTGTCTTACCATTATTTATTTAGAATTTCTCGTCTTACCCTTAATTCTTAATCTTCATATGAATCTGTACTTTGTGTGCATTTTATAAAAAAATGGTTATCTACTGTTGAAGGCATATGCCAGAGATTGCCCAATTCAGTAATTTTTGACTTACAAGGCCTCCACCATATTTCTTGATACTTGACCGTATGTCATCTGATTCTTTCTGTAGTTAGACTTTCAAATCTTCCGTCTTTATGATAAAGACTCACAGGTGTGGACTAGCAATTCCTTAAACAAATGCACATCTGTTGAACCTTGATACTATTAACTGTATTAGTTTATTATCATCAAGTATCAAGGTGTTTGTTTAAATCTAACTTCGTAGCAAAATGGTTTATAAGATTTTAGTCTGATTTTCAGCTTTAAATGAATCCTGGTTGTCTTAGAAGTCAATGTAAGTCAATTTTTCATTGAGTAATAATTCCTGCCGGTATAGAGAACAAACTGGGAACTTGTATATGTATATATATACACCCATATAGTTTTCAATTGTAGATTGGAAAGTTATCAGGTTATTCACATCCAAGGGTGTGTGACCTTGTGGTCAATGAAGTGGGCTGAGAACTATGATTCTCAAGTTCAAAATCCAACAGACGCAAAAAACTAGGTGATTTCTACCTCAACAGAGTTACCCGGTACCTATTCCGCCGGTGGTGTCCGCAGATACCCAGTGGGATTAGTCAAGGTGCACACAAGCTGACCGGGCACCACCAGTTATAAGAAGTTATTAGGTTATTCCTATTTTATTGGTGAACTTTTTCTTCTTCTTTGGTGCTTTATGCAGCTTGACTAGTGTTAGTTATCAAAGGCGCACTTAAGCCCTAGAGCAAGGCTCAAAATGTGTTGAGCGCGTCGCCTTGCTTTATGTGCGCTTTAGTGTCGTCATCAAGGTTCCAAGGCAAACATTTTGTTTGCCAGTGTGACTCTTATGAAGAATTTGAGGTTAAATAATGATATTTCGCTTTATCATAGTTTTTTTTCAATTTCTTTGGTCATATATTTGTCATTAATATTTATAATTATTAGTCTTGGACTTAACATAAATATTTTATTTCTTTTCTCCCTTAGCGCCTTTTTTTGTTAAAGCCCACACTTTATTTGCGCTTAACGGCCCCACATACCTTAGAGCTTTTCTGCGCTTTTCGCCTTTTGTAACACTGACCTTGACAAAGGGGCTAGTCCAAGGAAATGCTAGGTGGGATTCGTAGACATTCTTCTTCTTTACATTTGCCCCCTACCTCCCATTAAGTAACACACACACACCAGCAACTTCTCTCTTTCCCCCTCTCTTGCATGGCTGCTATTTAAGGCATTCTGACTCATATTGTCTCTTAGACTGCTGCATTATTGATATTTTCAAGTCACTACAGTTCTTATGTTCTTAATACATCATATTTTATTCACCTTGCTCCTAGCTATGAACTTAGCATGTTACATATGCTCTGTCCTTGCCGAATTTAGTTTGAAGAATGATTTTTTAACAAGTGTAGTACTTCTTGAACCACATGTTGTAGCTGTTAGACCTACCAGCAAATCATGTTGCCATGATTAAGATATTACTATAAACTTGTTGTTCATACTCCTTTCTCTTGTTGTAGACATATGACGAGTATCTTGAAGCTTGTAGCAGAGGCAGCAAACGATCGCCCCACCCTGTTAGTTCTCTTTGACATTTTTCTCTTATTATATATTCCTGTATTATCGAATAAACTCATGAACCACATGCTCTGTTGGGTTGGATTTTGAACTGTAAAAAGTTCACCTTTGTCCGTTTAGTTAATCTCTTTTCTGGAAAATCTATTCTAATTTCCTTTATTTTCGAAGAAAAGCTTGTAGCATTTAGCATTTCCTCAGTCTATAAGCAAGAGATGGTTAGCTCAATTAAGGAACTTGTGTCTTAAGTACAAGTTTGAACCTTGCACCAAGTGAATTAAGTCTAGTATTTAAGTGGAGAAGGATAGAGGGGCGGGTCCATCATCTCCGGGTTTTTAAACTCACAGATGCCCAAACCGTTGGCTCCAGATGAACTTCTTGTTGATAAAAAACTTGGGGCTACTCCCATCCCTCTTTTTTCTCCATGCTATCTGGTGGTTGATGATCTGGATGTAATTGGTTCTCTGGGTGAAGTATTGTGATAAATTCATGTGCTATAGTTAGGGTCCTCAAAATTTCAGTCTCTGTTCTGCTCTTTAGCATGAGATTTGAGTCTTGAGTATCTACCATCTCACCACCGAGGCATCCTGAAAGTGAATCATATTCCATGAATATGATATCTATCTAGTTTTGTAGATGACATTTCCTTTTCTTTTCACTAGCCTGATGAAGTGGTTCATTAATGTATTTAAACTCAGTTTCTAAAAGTGCCCTTGTTCAATATATGCATCTGGGGAGTGTTTCTTAGTGTGGATATCCATGAATTGCACACAGGTTTTTAAAGAAGAATCTTTCGCTAGAAAGGATTCTGATCAAATCATCAGGTTTCCATTGTGCAATAATTTACCTCTTTATCTAGGTTTCAGGACCATCACGGAGTACACAGAGGTCATTAGCCAGTGAAGTCAACTGTGATGATTCGTAAGTCTTCTTACTTCTCATTTCTGACACACCTGGGATGCAATGAACCAACTGCGTGACCTATATCTATTATGTTTGCAGGCAATCAGGTTGCAGTTCGAAGAAAAGGAGAAGTCACTAAATCTACCTATTGGTTGCATTGGTTTTCTTGGCGAGCAGGCTGATATGGTTGATAATTGTATTGTTGCATTTGTCGCGAAGTGGTGGCTCTTGCGAAGTTGTTTCTTTATATATGTAAAACTTAAAACTTAGGAGCATATATTGCTATAATGTTGGAGTATATCTGTACTGTATTTATATGACCCTCTTATCACCCTTCTCCCCTTCCTGTTTTCGAATGGAAAATTCTATACTGTCAATGGAAACTTGTACTGGAAATTAGTAGGATGGAGAGGAATTATTCTTCTTTATTCCTTTTTTCTTTTCCCTATGAGGCTACTTGTTATTCTTCAAAGATATGGTATATTAAGTATGTATATTCGGGTTTGTGTCCTAGATATGGAAAAATCCTTGGTAGGGAGGACTTCCGCGGAGTGGGGCCCTATGGGTTGTGGATCCGGAATAGTCATGATTTAATGCACATATTAAAACCAGATGAAAAAAAAAGGTATGTAGATTAGGAGGAAGAATAGCCTTATACGCAGTGTGATGGACATCAAAATAGTGTTAGATAGTTTGTAATATATAAATACACGTTTGTTTGTGATGGAGCATGATTATTTTGAAAAATGGTATAATTATAAAAAATCTTGAAGTAGTAGAAAGTTGATTCTTTTATGTATCGAAATAATTTCTTCTTTAATTACAAATTTTTTATTCTTCAACGCATAGCGGCTCAAGGAGTCAGTGTGGCTTGGCGATTTATGAAGTTGGAATGACAAACATGTAGAATTATCATATAACTAGTAAAATTACATGTGCTTTGCGTGGAAATTAAATATTATATAAAATAGGAAAATGAGAATGACAAACATGTAGAATTATTATATACTAGTAAAATTACTTAAAATATATCTGACATTATCACTAAAACACTATATTATCTTACATGCAAGATTACGTAGTAACAAACATTAATAATGTAAAGAAAAAAGAGAATTATTATATCTTATCATTTATATTTAACAACATAAACATAAATTAACAATTGTAAAAATACGTACCAAGATCTGTAAGATAAGCAATAGTGTCAGTGAGCCACTCAACAGGAGCAAAGTACTCAAATATTTAATTGTGAAGAAGGAGGAGGAGGAGGATAAGAAGAAGAAGAAGAAGAGAAGATTTAGAATTTTTGTAGTTTTAAAATGAGAGGAAATTTTTCTATTTATAGACAACAAAGGGTAGTGTAAAAAATGCTTATTAAAGTCGTCACTCTTCATTAAAGTTGTAACTTTTCATAAAAGAGAAAAACTAATTTGATAATAAAATAAATTAAAAGAGAATCTTGATTAGTAATAGCGCCACGTAGGCGGGTTTAAAGTTCTCTTATATATATATATAAACTGTTAGTACAATTAAAAAAAAAAAAGTGTTTTTAGTTAAAGCGAATTTAAAAACTATTTACTGATATTCAAATTAGAAATTTAGTAAGAATGAAGTTCAGTTGAGTTTATATAGCCCAAAGACAAAACTTATCTTGAGTTAAGTCTTTGAGCCCTCAACCCACCTCACTCACCCCAACCACTAGAAAAAATGAAACTCATCGAGAGTAAAGCTTGTCAAGTATGAACAATGATTTATTCAAATATCTTGAAGTACTAAGAACGTAGCTCATCTTGAGTTGATCCACAAAGCTTCAATAGTTCAACGTGGATAATTATTTTAATAAAGTATCTTGAACTACTAAATATGAAATTAATTAAGATTAAAGTTTCATCCTAACCATCACAAATAATGATTTGAGTCGAATATGTAAAATTCAAACGATAAAACTCATCGAACACAGAGATCGATAGTAATTTAAAATGAATAGTAACTTGAGTTGCTTACTAAGAATGAGGCTTAGTAGTTCAAGGTTAATTACGATCTGAATCAAGTCTCCCTAATCCCCAATGATGGAACTAACTAAGAGGTGAACTTAACTGCGAACAGTTCAAAAATAATAAAAAATAGTGTGAATGATAATTTTTCACGTTATTCTAATTAGTCGAACAAGAAAAATATATGGGGAATAAAAGTTAAATTATAAACTTAATTTTTTACTAAACAAACCAACAAAAATTCTAATTTTTTAAATCACAACCTTATATATTGATGCAATAGCTACAATTAATAGGACACCCATTTGGCCTTTCAAAATCAATTTTCCCTCTTTACCAATCAGTATAGGGTTTACTGTTTTTACAAATTCAATGGAGAATGGGAGAAGGACAAGGGCTGAAGATGTAATATGTGAGCTCAAGGATGATGGCGATTTCGATAATCTTCGCCTCGAATTTGTCAGTATTTGCTTATTCTTCTTTGGTTTTGTTGTTTAGGGTACTGTTAAGAGTATTTTTTTTTATCTTCGGTTTCTGTATTGTTTCATCTGTTTTTGCATCAATTTACGGAAAATCCTGAGTTGGGTTCTGTTCTTTTTACTCTATCAAAATTGTATGTGATAGATATTGGGAATTCGGCATAATTATTGGATTTAAGTAAAATACATTAGGAGTGATTTAGAGTAGAAGGTTTAACAGGTAGTAGCTTGCTGTTTTTGTAGTAAGGTTATTATTATTATAATCACTCGCCTCTCTCCTCTCTATACCAGTTTCGCTCTTCTCTCTCCTCCCTATAACATTTAACTACAAATTGTAATTATCAAACTATAGTTATGAAGAGTAATTAGGCTATTTTTGAGTTGCTATATTGAGAAGTTCCTCGAGTATATTCATTCTATTTTTAAATTATTTGATATTTGCCCCAAATAATAATATTAGTCAAACCCATCAAACTTAATCATGTTTGAAATGGATCAATATCATGTCGTTTTTGTGATTTATGACTTGAGACATCTCATATTAAATCTCCTTAATTACCTATATGAATAATTAATATTATGTCTTCTTTAAATAAGATTTTATTTTATAAAAGTATATTAACCTGGAGGTTAGTTGGAGTTTTAATTGAATTATCTGAGCATTTTATAATTATGTTGAAGTTGTAAATGAATTATTTATAATCATAGATTTCTAGACTGAATTATTTTATCATGTGTGTTTGAGGAGAGGTAGAGGTAGACCAGAGAAGTATCGGAAATAGAGAGAGGTGATTAGATAGGAGATGACGTAGTTTTAGCTTGTTGAGGGCTTGACCTTATATAGTAGGATGGTGTGAAGAACACAATTAAGGTCGAAGGTTACTGTAACATTAAAACATTAGTCTCATCATCAACAAAATAAAAGGTTAATCGATCGTCATTTTAGAGAGATTTTATTGGTTTATTTTTTTGCTAAGCTTTCTTTCCAAACCATTGCACATAATTTCTTTCTTTATATAATTACTCATATGCATTAGACGAGGTTGTTTGTTCTTGTTGGTATGATCAATCTCTCCATGTATAAGTTTCCTTGCTGACGGAGACTGAATAGTTTATAACTTCATATCTAGTACTGTTATTGGCTTATATATGTTCTTCACATGTTATCATAATCTTCTTTTTTGAGAAGGTCCAAAAGCTACATACATATTCTAAAAGCTTATAACTTGACTCTTTTTAAATTAAATTATTTTTTTTGGCAATTAAAACACTTTATTACTCACTGTGCAAGGATTTGGAGAGAATAACTTGTATCTTATTCAATAGGTAAACATGTATAAATACAATAATATTAGAAGCTAATTAAGGAAAGAAATAAAGATATATGCTATCTATCTATATCTTTGTGCAATATCAAGAAAGAGATCTATATACATTCTGTAATGCTCCCCCTCAAGCTAGAGCATGTATATTGATCATGCCCAACTTGTTACAAAGGTAATCTACTCGAGCTCTATGCCTTCGTGAACAAATCAGCTACATGTGCTGCTGTCTTCACATAGCCCGCAAATATCAAGTTTTCCTAAATCTTCTTATGAATAAAACGTCAATCAACCTCAATGTGTTTCATTCTTTCATGATATACCGGACATGCAATATGAAGCGCAACTTCTTATCACACCAAAGTTTTGATGGAGTAGAATGCTTCAGTCCAATTTTAGTTAAAAGATGATGTATCTACATGATTTCACATGCAGAATGTCACATTACTCTATATTCAGATTCTGGACTGGACCGACTATGTCACTACATCCCATATCCAATTAGGCTTTGAAGCAACTGGACAAAACCAGAAGGAATTTTCTCTGGGAAGGGAACAATAAAAGCCATAAATTCCATTTAGTCAAGTGGGCACTAGTCTTGTTACCAAAAAAAGTTAGGTGGTCTGGGCATTAGAGACTTAGCACTTCACACCAAATGCCTACTTATAAAGTGGTTGTGGAGATGCACTCAAGAGGAGCAGAGCCTTTGAAAATATGTGATAATTGCTAACCATTGAGCAATAAACCACTGGTGTTCTAATATTTCAACAGCGCCATATGGAGTGGGTGTTTAGAGAAGTATATGCAAATTATGGGAGGAGTTCTCTCAACATAAACACTTAATTGCAAGGAATGGACAACATATTAGTTTATGGAGAGACAAATGGATAGGCAACTCCTCTTTAATGGTTGCTTATCCTAACATGTTCCAGATAGCAAGGGAGCCAAACTCTACTATTCAGTGGGAATTCTTGGAACATCATCCTTAGATGGAATATACACAGTGTTGCAATTAATAGTGAAACATAGGACCAACTTAACTGGGGAGAAAAAAGGTGTGGGAAGTTCTCAGTTAAAGCAACTTTCAAGCTTCTAGGCCCACAAAATGCATATGCATACCACTGGCCTTGGAAGCTTATATGAAAGATCAAATTGCCTCCTAAGATTAGTTGCTTCAGCTGGACTGCACTTCATGGAGCTTGCCTGACCCAAGACAACCTGACCAGAAGGAAGTTTCAGATGGCTACTAGATGTTATATGTGCATGAAGGAAGCAGAAACACACAACCACCTATTCTACAATGTCAAATAGCAGCAGACCTTTGGAGTATGTTTTTAGCTGTTTTTGGCCTCAAATGAGTCTTGCCTCAGAATATCAGGGATGTTATGATAAGCTGGAGTTGCTGGAAAGTTGATGGCACCATCAAGAGAATCTGGAAGATGATACCTGCAACATGAATTATAATTACTACATAAAAAAGCTCTCAGGCACAGTTTCCAAAACCCTCATCTTTCCTACTTTCTAGGAGGGAGGTTGAAGCTTCTTCCCGGCATCCTTTCAACCGGGAACCTTCCATTGACCTTAATCTACCACATTTTGTGGTAGGTTTCCACCTCCCATTTCCTTTCATATCAGCTTGGGGTTTTTAAGA